CCAAAACAAAGAGCACAAACAAAAACCTTCCCCTTATTGGTCTTTGGGTCAGGTGTCAGTCAGGTTACCTGAGCTTCTTAACCCTTTACAGGTAAAAGGATTTTGGAGTCTCTGGCCAGGAGGGATTTTATAGTATTGTACACAGGAGGGCTGTTGCCCTTCCCTTTATAGTTATGACAGGGGGACAGGCTCTGTCTTTCCCTCTGTGTTCATGCAGAACCCTGCACAATGGCCCTGATCTCAGCTGGGATCTCTAAGTGTTACCATAATACTGTTGATAACTTAAACCTGTCTGAGCTTTTGAAAATGTTGACCCTACTAGTTTATTTTTTAACTCTCCAAATCATGTGCTGTAGGGTCTGGGAAGGGAAGGAAAAACACCTGATTTTAGTGCTCCGGGGCTGGGGACTGAAAATCAGCCTGCAGCCGTAGCGAACATCCCTAGTTTGATACAGTCACAGTAAACGTGAAACCAGAGGTCCTGCCATTTCCCCATTCACAGTCCCATGTGATGAGTCTGGCAGGGTAAACCGAACTCCTTCTTCTCAGCATGCAGTCAGAGCTGGAGGGGTGCTGGGTTCACTCAGGTGCCAACCTTGGGAGGAGAATTTGGGGGAATTCTTGCTGCCTGCTGATCAGTTCAGGATTCCTGCCTAGAAATCTCCACCAGGTAAACTCCCATCAGGTATGTTTGGCTTTTTCTTTTTCCCCTTGTACTTTAAATCTCCCCTTTGTCGTGTTTGGAACAATGTATTTGAGGAATTTTGCTTGTAGAGAGTTTGCATCAGTGGACACCCGCGTGCATCAGTCTTGATTGGGCTCCTTTGAGTCCTCTTCACCTAAATCTCTCTGGGCCAGATCCTCAGCTGGTGTAAATCTGCTTCGCTCCAGTGACCACAATGGAGCGACACCAGTTTACACCATCTAGGGATCAAACTCATTGACCTCAGTGCAGCTACATCAATTCCCACCCCAGCTGGGAACGTCTCTGACTTTCGCTAGCTCTGTCCCTCCCTCCCGCCCCGGATCACCTTATCCCAGGCTTTGATGCCCATGGCCAGGTCCAAGATCCAGTTCAGGAGCTGGATATTATCCATTGACCCAGCTCTGTTTTCCTTTCAAGTCTGTTGTTGTCGTATGAGGTTCCAGGAAGCCCCTGCCCCATCGCCCCCAAGAGGGACAAGCGGCCGGATGGCTCAGTGTGAGAACGGCTGCAGGGTCAAGGTTTGCTTCTTGACACTTTGCTCATGGCAGAGAGAGGAGAAATCTCAGCAAGTCAGTGTCAGATCTCTTGCACCATCACTGAGTGGAGGAAATTGAGACACTTGACTTAACCATGCAGATATTATCTCTCACCAGCGTGCTCTTTTTCTCTCTCCACTAGCTGAGCAGAATGAAGCTGTTGGCTTGTATCGTCTTGGCCTCTCTTGCTGCTGCTGCTACTGCACATCTACACTCAGACCCGACGCTGGATAACCACTGGGAGCTCTGGAAGAAAACCTATGGCAAACAATACAGCCACAAGGTGGGCTCTGTGCAGCTGTGGGGTTAAAGTGGGGGAGGGGGATTTCTGTTATCATCTCCCCTCAGGTCAGCAGGTATCCGGGATCTTGGCATGCCAGTCCTATGCCAGCTCTCACTGAGAACGCTGTCTCCTGCTCTTCTCCTGGAGATTGCAAAGCTCTCTCTGCTTTCAGAAGTGAATTCAGTTTTAATGAACATTGGGCCCTGTATGTACCCTCCACCCTGCCTAAACCATCCCAGGGGTTAGCTTATTTCTTCAAGCGTGTTTTGTTCGGGATATATTAGAGCCAGGTGACATTGTTCACGAAACTCTTCTTCTTCGGTTTTGGCAATTTTTTTCGGTCAAATTAAAAAAAAATAAGATGGAAAAAATGGTTCATTTCAGCGTTTAATAAATGAACCGTTTGGACTTGTCCTTTTGGAAAGCCATTTTGTGTTGTAATTCCCCTCCATTCTATTAACAATAACTAAATAAAAAGGTTTTAAAAGCCCCAAATTGAAACAAAACGTTTGACCCAAATCCAAAAATCTTCAACTGATTTTCAAAACATTGTTTGGTTTGGCTACAAGGTGTCATCA